GCTCAGGGTTCCTCCTGTGTCAGCTTCCTTCCTTTTTAAGGCTGAGTGACATTCCGTTCTGTGGATGGACCATGTTTTATCCATTTGTCGGTTAATGGGATAAACGTTTCTGAGAGGAATGACAGGATCCGCCGACTTCCCAGGGACCCCTGGCAGCTCGTGCTCCCGGTCTGCACACTTTTTTATGGGAGCCTGGTGTTTCTGCTCCACCAGCATCCAGAGATAGTGGTGGGGGCGGGAAGGTGGTTCAGATCCCAGCCAGGTCCTGTTGTTTTCCTGGGATGCCAGTAAAAGGAGGAGGGGACCCTGGGACTGGAACTGGAAATTTGGAGGGGTGTGTGACAGGTGTGGAAGGTGAGCTTGGTGGGTGGAGCCAGGACAGTGCAGTGACATTTGGGCCTCTGTGTGGCCTCTTTAGTCTCCGTAACGGGATTCCAGCTCGCAGACCACAAGGGCCTGAAAGAGCCTCTGGTTCCTTTATTTAACAGAAAAAGGAAAATGGTCCAGAGAAGTGATGTGCCCAAGCTCACCCAGCTGTTGGTGGCAGAACTCAGACTAGCATCTGGTCTCTGTGCCTTCTGTCGCAGTGTCCATTTTCAACAAGCCGTGGCCTTCCTCCCTGGAGTTGGAGCCAGCAGAGCAAGGCTCAAATGGGGTTCTCCAGGTTTACGCCTGTCCATCTGCCAAGTAAGAGTTGAATGATCCTGTGTTGGGAGCAGGGCCTCTCCCTCCCTGGGGCGGCCGCCTCCGAACCCTAGGCTCCGCGGACCACCACACTAGAACTCCCGGACCATCTCTAAGGTCCTTCCAGCTCCATCCCGGGGCTGCAAGGAGAAGCCAGGAGTCCTCTGCCTTCATTCCACAGCCAAAAACCCGAGTCCCCTCTCACCGCACTTCCGTGTGGAAGGTGACTTCCGGCTGCATCGCGTGGCTGGGGGACCACGGCTCGGGGAGTCGGAATCCAATTCACATCCCAGCTCTACCGCGACTGGCTGAAAACTTCTCTGCGTGGTTCCCACCACCTGCTACCACTCACTGACTTCAAGGCTGGTTATTTACTCTCTTTGAATCTCCACGTCCTCATCTGGGAGGTGAAACTTGTCACCTTGCTCACAGGATAGACGTGAAGGTCAAATGAAAGAACAGATGGAGAAGTGCTGAGTAAGAGAGGAGCTGTTTTCAAAGCTTCCATGTTACTGTCAGCAGATCCTCAAGTGAAGAGTCTGGTTCTGCCATTCGTCACCTCTGACAGAAGTGGCCGGTGCTCAAGGTCTAGCTGTTAAGTATTGAGGCTTTAAAATACAAACAAGCCTTGAATATCCAAGCCTTGAAGATTAACTTCAAAGACGTTCCTTGGTTGGGCAACTCGTTATTCTAACATTGCTGTTACTTCAGATTTCCTTCAAACACATCTCGTGGAGCTGCCTCCAAAGCTGGTGTACCCTGGGCAGCGGTAACACTCTCTCCACTGGATTGAATTTCGGCAAAAACCCAGTATTTACACGCATAGAGCTATCGACGGTGAATATATGTGAATACAGGGGCAGATCAAGCCAGATAACAACTCCCACGTTGGCTGGAGCCCGGGAGCCTGGAAAGCTGGAGCCCCAGGTCTCAGGTCACGTGACAAGGGCCACGGGGGTGGGCAGCAGTAAAGGTGGGAGGAAAGTTTCCTTTCTACACGTGCCCACCGCCCTCCCCGCACTTCCTGAATCTTGCATTTGAAGAAACACTGAATTTCACTCTCCCTCTAGGTTTTAGAGACATTAGGATCAACGCATTCATTTTACAGAATATGCTCCTCATCGGCTCCGCCCCTCCCCCCTCGCGTCAAGAGCAGGTGTATGGGGGGTCTCCCTCCATGGGAGAGCAAGTTCCGGGAGGGTCTGGGGTCTCAGTGCTCCATCTCTAGCTGCCGATCACGCCTCTCTGCTTGCACTTACTTGGGGTTCAAATTACCCAAGAAGATGTGGGTCACCACTGGCCAGCGGCTCTCCACCCCTCAGGGATGCTGAGTGCAGACAGGCTGCAACCAGGGAGCTGCGACTCTGCAACTCCGCGGGATCAGCAGTGACCAGCGGGGGCGGGGCAGGGGCATGGCAGGGGTGGAAAAGGCCGGCGCAGGGGGCACCCGCCCTGCCGTGCCCCGAACCAGGGTGGCCTTCCAGACGTCCTGGTGGCGTTTCTAAGACAAGAGCAAGAGGCTGGGAAAAGCTTGACAGGCAAGACTTCAGCTCGCAGGTGAAGGCCACTGGAAGATCTGGAAATGGCTGGAAAAGTTCATCTCGCCCTAATGGTCAACGCGGGTGCCGGCCCGGACCACGGGTCTGAGCTGCAGGCGCAGGAGAGAACGGTGTCCCCGCTGCAGGGGGCAGGGGGGCATGGCCGGGAAGGCTGCAGGGTCCCCACTCCGTCTTCTCAGGTCCTGGGCAGAGCGCTGACCTGATGTTAGCAGGTGGTTCACCTTTTCCCCCTTGGAACTGGAAAAGCCCAAGGTGACCCTATGGTAGAGCAGTCTCAGTCCCAGTGTCCCCAGTCGGGGTGCCAGCCCACCGCTCCCTGCACAGCCAGCCATCCTTTCACTCACTGCGGCTTTTCTGCTGTGGTCAGAGCTCTGACTGGCCTAGACATGCCACCTCCAAGCTCCTGGGAGACCAGAGACAGCAGAGCTTCCACGTCACATCACCCACTTGTTTAAAGGCAGACAGACTCCCTGCAGCGCAGCGTTTGCGCCTGGCTGGGCCACCGCAGGCCCTGGTCCAGCCGGACCCTCCCCTCCCACCACGCCCAGTCCCAGCACTCCCAGAACAAGGTGACCGCCACCTTGAACAAGGTCACCCAGCTCCTGACCTTCTCCTGAACACCGCCGCTCCCTCATGCCCCGGAAGAGTCTGCGCTGCCTTTACAATCAAGACCTATTGTATTGTGTAAGTCCCGTATATAAAATAAACAACAAGGACCTACTGCACAGCACAGGGAGCTGTATTCAATAGCTTGTAGTGACCTATAATGAAAAAGAGCACGAAAAGGAATGTGTATGTGTGCGTAGGACTGAAACATGATGCTGTGCACCAGAAATTGACACCACATTGTAAGCTGTACTTCCATTTTAAAAATGGGAAAAAAAGGCCTATTCTGTAAATACCTAGAAGGCCCATCGCCTTCATATTTAGTGGACGCTTCAGCCCTCGCATAGCCCTTGCAACCGAGCACAGACTCTACACAACTGTATAAATACACAGGGAAGGAAGGACGGGGCCTGACACAGCACAGCCTCTCCTCAGAGCACAGCCTCTCCTCAGAGCGCGGCCTCTGGGGGGTCAGACCTGTGCTTAGATTTTAAGGGAGACAGTTCTCTGACACACTGAGGGGCGAGTGCGCCTGGCTGGGGGCACCTGCCCACTTCCTCTGCACGCACGCACACGGAGGGCTGCAGGCCTGCTCCAGAGGTCTTCTGTTTACTGTAAACAGTCAACTCCGGTCAGAAAAATCCCTCCGCAGGGCTCTGCTGGCTACATTCAACCCCAAACAAAACTGCTGGAACACAGGATTTCTGTCTTGAGTTGGAAGAGTTAATGCCATTAGAAACAAGTACAAAGGAGAAGGAATCCCTTGTCTTTACAAACGAGCACTTGAACCTGCTTCAGAAGGCCCCCATGCTTCCAGAGAAAGTGTTCTGCTGGTTCAGTTTTAAAACTCAAGTTTCCTGGAGAAGCGAATTTGGAAGCAGCCGTAAATCACACTAATTCAGATGCCGCTCGTGGTCTAGGCAAGGCCCCGGCCCTGGCCCGCTCCGTGGCCAGGGCCGCAGTGGGGTGAGCAGCACTGCTGTGAACTGCAGGCTGACTCGGAATACTCACCTCTTCAGAATCACAGGCCAGGCCTTGTGAAATGCCTCAGATGTTCTACAAGATTCTGGAACTTCTTGGAGTGCTGGTTAGTTTCAGGATAACTGAACGCATTTTCCTGCCTTATTGGTTGCCAAGTAGGTTTTTTAAAAAAAATCAGACAACGACTTTGCAAGTTAAAATGGGACAAAGAGACAAATTCAGAATGACAAGTAGACACGCGCAAACAGACGTTAAGCACAGCCGCAGTCCTGAAGACACGCCCTGTGTGTGGTGGTGGGATGCGTCAGGCCCCCGGTCAGGCCCTCCTAGGACCCGAGCTGCCTTGCTCAGTGTGCTGGCGGTGCCCGCAGCTCTCCCCGTCTGCATGGGCCGCGGGCTGGCGTGGGGGTGCGGGTGGGAAGGAGGGAAGAAGCAAAGGTAGGTCCTTCCCTCATGGACTCCACTGTCATCTAACACCACAGCTGAGAGAATACTGGGACACTCTGAAGAACCAATTTTTCCTAGGAAGTCTAAAGTCCTCCCCGAATCCAGTGATGAACAACAGGCTCCTCCTGTACAGCACAGGGAACTGTAGTCAACAGCCTGTGATAACCTATAATGGAAAAGAACACGAAAAGCAATGTATATATGTGTAACTGAGCCACTCTGCTGCATGCCTGAAACTAACGAACACTGCAAGTCAGCTACGCTTCAGGAAAACCTCCAGTGGTGCTTTCAAAGCTTTACTGAGGGGAGGAAGGGAAGGAAGAGGGGGAGTGGGAAGGAAACGAGGAGCTCCCACAGGGACCACCGCTGCCCCGTGGGAGCCCCTCACACCCCCAGCCCACCCCCGCAGGAGAACGCCCCACTCACCTCCAGAGAGAATGAACCGAAAACGACTCCTTCTGTAGACCTGCCCTCTTGGTATCATAAAAGAAAGGGGGGAAGAAAGAGATCGTGACAAAATCTTGGTACCAAAGCTTCTCAGACGACTCAGGACGCTCTTCTGCAGCTGGATGGGCCTGAGCGCTGTAAGGAGTCCACATCGCCCTCCTGAAGCCTGAGGCTCAGAGAGGGACGCGGGAGGGATGGGAGCGCAGGGAGACCCCCCTGCACAGCAGGGGGGAGACACGCCTGCAGTCACACCGTGGGTCGTTTTCTCGCCGGATGTGTTCATCAGAATACCAGGTAGCAATTTTATTCACAAATAAAAAAAAGGTCTTACAAAACGATTTGTGTGAGAAAACAAAATTTACAAATTCGTAAGTCCCAGCAGGCAAAACAGTGACGACGCACTGTAAACCGGTGCGATCTGACTGCCCTAAAGCGACGATGGAGATGTTCCTGTCCTATGTTTTACTAGCACAGACAACAGTGCTTCACCTAGCAACAGTAATGCTTTACCTAAAGTAGAAAAAACCTATACTTGAAAAATGTACTCCATATACACAAAATCAGGAAATCCATGCCTTTACGCGGTTGCTCTCCGAATCCTAGTCGCATCCGTGGTGACGTGTTTCTGCGGAGCTGAAAGTCACAGGGACTCACGCTCCAGCCCTGTTAGCGCCTGACGGGGTCTTCCTGGCACCAGCACCCTCGCAGCCAAGCCTGAGTGCCCCAGGTTATTCCAGTGATGTGAAATGGTAACTGGATGGTCTTCTCCAGGGTTTACGAAGAGCACAGACTGTAACACCACGGAGTGTTCCGGTAGCAGGTGGCGGTACAATGTCTCCATCTTGATAAACATAACCCAGGACTTTCCAAGTGCGGTATCACAGGAAATCAGTTTTTCACCGTAAGTGTTTCTCTATAGATCCAAAGTGATGTTTTAGGATCTGGGGCCGAAGTTTCATTCCCCATCAACCGTAGCTTTATCCCGCAAGCATGTGCCTTTGGAGTTAATGAGGGCTACACATACGGAAAACACTCAGGTTACAAAAAGGAACACAGTGCTAGCCTACCTGGACCATCCCTCCCCCGAACAAGAGTGAGCAGACTGCAAAGGCGGGCCCCACGTGACTCATGGCGAAGCCATTCAAGGAACCTGCGTTTTCATGGACACCTGTGGTCAGACCCGAAGTGCTGTACATGAGGCTCCTAAAGGCAAGTCTCAGAGGAGCTGGTGAGTACCAGAGCTTAAGAACCTCTGCTCTACGCTAAAATAGGAAAAGAAAAAAGAAAAAGTCAATCGACTGTGGCTGGGCTCCAGGTAGACCCAAAAGGCTTGCGTTACCATGAGCGCTCTGGTTAATTTCCTATTTCAGTCAAAGGAACGGGGTCACACACACGACGTACAAACCCGGGTGAGCCAGCGTCCGCACAGCAAATCCTCAACTGTGGATGGAGGAACAATTCCAGCACAAGGAAGAGGCCTTGCAAGATTTCATCAAAGCCTTGCAAAGAAAGAAAAGTGTGGGGTGATAAGAGGGAAGTTAAAATGTCCTAGGAAAGGCAGATTTCTTATGCTCAGTTTAAATGTCAGGTAGAAGACACTGATTTGGCCATGGCCGGGGGTGGGGGGCGGGGGGCAATTTGGAAACAAAGTTTCTGTGCATTCTCTAATACATGTACATTCAAAGGTCTGTTTCTTTTTTAAGTGCAAATGGGATGGAGCTAAGAGTAATCAGTCAAAAGACAACACCAGAGCTGATCGTGCAGGTTCAAGCAGGAAGACAACCCTGCTCTAGTAACTCCTCTCCAGGGCACAGAAAGAGCAAGCGAGCCGTCCCCTGGTTCACGGCTGGGTTATTTCTGTCGTAGTGCTAGGGGTACTTCTAGCACAGAAATACCAAGGTGGTAGGGATGGAACGCCTTCCTAGAAGTGCTGGATGGTTAACTCCAGCATCCTCTGGCTGATGGGAGTTACCGTGCTGACGAAGCTTACGAGGTCGAGGAGAGCCTACAACCCTGGTCAAACAGCCACGGCAGCTACGCACAGTTCACCTGAACGCTGCCTACAAGCTGGGCTTCTTCCTCTGCTTCTAACATGCTGCGTGGTCTCACAGACGCCTCACCCGGTGCTGCTTCAGCAGCAGGGAAACCTGCTGTGTTGTCCTTTCTAAAGCCTTTAGGATAAAATTCGATGCACATAAAAGGAAATTACAAATACCACTTTCCTATCAAAGAGAAGCTCTGGGTCTTTAAAGCGCAGTCACAGGGACGGAGGCCACAGCTGCTCCCTTATTATGACTTTCACATGAACCTGCTCACCAACAATGCAAGCGTCCAGGGGCTTTAACTCAGGGTGACGGTGGGCTGGTCTGCCTTTTCCAGCCACATCCCCTGACTCCGGCCCCTCCTGCTACTAGACAGTGGCTGAGGTGAGGAGTGTCCATTCTGGAAAAGGTCAGGTCTCTTCTGATTCCCGATTAGGACCGTTAATATCGTCTAATAAGCCCAGGACTCGGGCAGCTGTAGGCGGTCAATTCTCACCTCCGACGCTAATTATTTAGATGATGAAAAAGTGACCTTCAGTCAGTAGACACTCCTCTTTGAACCCATCTGACATAAAGGCGAAGGTAACTAATCTGACATTGACTTCTAGCAGGATAATTGGCTGTACGAAATTATTTCTGGAAAGAAAAGGCAAATGCACATGTATCCTCCGGGTCCGCAGTCCTGTGAGAGCACCCACCAGGAATGCACTCTTGCTCCTTGTTAGGCGCACACGCTCGCTCGCGGGCTGCAGACGAGGCCCAGCGGCCTGTGAAGTCCGGCCTGAGCACAGCGGTTCCCTGTGCGGGAAAGACGCAGAGGTTCACGGGCCCGGAGCCTGTGCCTTGAGGTTGCAGCATACAGCTGGTCTGGCTCAGAAGCCACTGGGCGAAAGGCCGAAAAACGCCATCGGTTTGGTTCAGATTTACTCTTGTCCCCCAGAAGCCGAGCGAGGTCCAGGCGGTGTGCCATCCACACGCAGAGGAGTGAGTGTCCTTGGGGCCCGTGCGACACTTCACTGCAGGAAGAAGCAAGTCCTTCTGGCTTCCTGAAAGAGCGACAGACAGAGAGCTCTGAACATGACAGCTTCCCAGTTAAAGCAGCTGAGCTGTGACTGAAAACACACAGCGCAAAACCTCCACGAGGCGCGCACGTGAGCGCAGACCGCGCGGACAAGTGTGTGTCTGGCAGCAGTGTTCCAGCGTCCAGAGACCCGTGTAACTCCTTGAATGAAAATAAAGATGGGCCAGCAACCTACAGTCGGTGTGCCCAGACGGTTCTGAAAAGATGGAAATGTACCCCAAACAGTGTCAACAGATGCTGCTTCTGCTGATGCTCAACCTCAGACATTAAAGCTTGTTTCCGGGCTGCACTCTGTAAAGCCCTCGTCAGAAAAGACTTTAGGGTCTTCAGTCGGCTCTTTGGAGGAACGCAGATGGATAGTGACTAACGCCATTCTTAAATGTCTTTTGCTGAAAACTTCGGTTAAACTACTGGAGAAAGTTCAGAGTTTGGGAACGAGCCTTCTCTTCTAATGACCTCCCTGGAACACCCCACTCTTCACGGAGCCACCGTCCTCAGCAGAGAGCAGCCGTCAGAGCTGACCTTATTACAAGACGGCAGCGACCTCACTCCAGGAGGGGCCAGGCACGGGGCACCTGTGTGTTACTGCACGCGAGGGAAACATTCATTTATGCAGGAGCATTTTGGGGGGGCGAGAGTTCTGCTCCCTCTGCTCCCCCTAAGTCAGCGCTGTGCCCGCTGGAACCCATCACTGCTGCACCTGGTGGGATGTGTGGGCGGGCAGACTAGGGGTGTCCTCTCTCTCCTGATCTCGCTGGCTTCTGGCCGAGAGCACGTCCTGGGTCAGCACTGGCTCTGGCAGTGAGTTGCTGTGTCTCAGTATATCAGTCGTTTCCGTCACGTCTTCAGGGTGAGCTGGCATTGGAGCAGCCTCGCCGACCAGCCCCCGATGCCTGCTGGGGTCCAAGGATGATGGACTTCCGTCTTCCAGGCTGAGAGAAGGAACATCTTCTCCAGTGAGTCCAGCGTAAGAGTCGCAAGAAGAGGTGTCGTCACCACAGCTGGGATTTTGCATCAGAGGCCAGGCGTCCGAGAACTCGCCACAGACGGACCTTGAAAGAGTCCCGAAGAAAGGCAGAGTCAGCTCCCCCGGACCCGCATTTCCAGACACAAGTGTGAAAGAGCTATAAGCACTCTACTGGGGGCAGCTTCCTACAGAGCAACACTCCAGCCACGCCTTCCGGTTTTCTAGATGAAATGAACAGCAATTTACTAAGTCAGAACTCTAGTCTTCCCTTCTTATAAATTTGTTTCCTTCCATACAATAACTTAACACTCCACTTATTTTAAAACTGCATTTTCATACCTGCTTCTAATCAACAGAGTTATATTTAATCCAGGGTCTAAAATAGGCAGATTCCTGGGGCTTAACTGAGTTTCTTTCATTGCTGTTCTAAAATTCTCAGAGTATGTGTGACATGCTAAAAAAGTACTTGCAGGTGACAGAAGTGTCACAAATTATGAATATAAGTAAAATTAATGGAACATAAAGTATAAGAACGTTGCACTGGTTATCAGTAACCCTGAAAGACTTACCTAATTCTTGCCAAAGGTCCCCCCAACCCCCACAAGCTCCAGAATGTCGCTGATAATACTAAAAAAGTGATGTCCCCAGAGTTTCACATGAAAATTGGTAAATGAGTAGAATGTCTATTTGCATGAGGGAATATGAAATGACATGTTACCTCTCCTGGTGAGCGGCCTTGGAATGCACCCTACACCCAGAGGTCTCCCGGCCGACGACACAGACCCTGTCACAGCACCCGGATGCGGTCAGGCGGACAGGCCCTAGGAAAGCCGGCAGGGCCAGGAAGCACACTTTTACACCAGTTCAACATTGCTCTTGACAACTGAGTTGTTCCCTTTTGGGTGAATTTTTTGGGAGAAGGGGGTATGAGGTTTAATTTTTTTTTCTTTTTTTCTTATCTTAAAAAACGATGAACCACTCCCGTGAAGGACCTGGAGGAGCCAGTTTCCTGAAGACGGAGAGTAGGATGCGGGGTGCCAGGGCGGGGGGACCAGGAGGATGGGGAGTCAGTGTTTCGTGGGGACAGAGTTTCAGTTCTGGAGATGGCAGCGGAGATGTGGCATACAATATGGGTGCGCTTAATTACTGGCCTCGGCTCATCAAAAACATTAAGTCATGAAATGCAAAGGAAGGCAGAGGAACTATCCAAACTGAAAGACCATGAAGAGAGCTGACAACCAAGTGCAACCATGTCACATGGGATTTCCTTTTGCTACGGAGGACGCTGTTGGGACAATTAAAAACATCTGAGTATGCTCCGTAGATGATATAAAAGCACTGGCTTAATGCTAATTTCCTGATCTTTGCAATCATGCTGTTGTGTAAGAGAATGTTCTTGTTCTCAGAAAAAAACACTGAAGTATTAAGGGTAAAGGGACATCATGTCTGCAACCGATCTTTAAATGGAAACAAAAAAGTGTGTGTGTGTGTGTATACACAAGTAAAATACACAGCTGGCCCTTGAACAACACAGAGTTGAACTGTGTGGGTCCACTTATTCGAAGATTTTATGACTCTCTGGATGCGGAACCATGGATACAAAAGCCGCAGACATGGAGAAGCCGCGAATACACAGTCAACCGTAAGTCACACGTGGATTTTTGTGCGCAGGGTGGGCGCCCCTAACCCGGCGTTGCTCAAGGGCCCACCACACTTAGAAAGAGGTAAGAACGATACAGCAAATGTGGAAATGAGGTAAATGTCAGTGCTGGGAGAGCTGGGTAAGGGGTATGTGGGAATTCTTTCTCCTATTGTTCCAACATTTTTCTAAGTCTGAAATCATGCCACAATAAAAAGCTAGAAGGGAAAGGCACTGTCATCGAGGGGGAGGCAATTTACACGACGAGCTGCCCGAACCCGGGCGGCAGCAGGGCGAGTTCTGTCCGGTCTCTCCCTTCTGTTAAGAGGACCTGCAACAAAGCCACCTGTTTTACTCTCCCTTTTCGGAGAGAAGTTACAACGAGGCAGTTTGCACAAAGCTGGATGTGATCACACTTAAAGCTTGAGTTTCACTCTTAAGCAATAAGCTTGCTAACTCTGATCTGGTGTCAGTGCCACGCTCAGCATGTAGAAATCACAACACTTGGCCCATCCTGAGAATCACCGAGGTGCTGTCAGGTGACAATCCCAACGATCATCTTCTCAGGAGCTGAGTCTATTTTTTAAAATTTTAACTTAATTAGAAAATTTTAAATAACTTTACTGTGTTTCCTAATATTTCCATCACTTCCCAAGAGGTGCAACTTTCTAACTCCCAATTTGTCCCTTCCCACCTCTTTCCCCCCGCGTAACCATAAATTTGTTCTCCATGTCGGTGAGTCTGTGTCTTCTTTTTTAGAGTCCACATATGAGTGATATCATATGTTATTTCCTTTCTCTTTCTGGCTTACTTCACTTAGAATGACAATCCGAGTCTATTATCTCTGCAGGCAAAAGCAAAAACACACCCACACACACACCACTGGAGGTCCGATATTTCATTTTCACCTCTAAAGCAAGAGATAGTATGGTTGGTAGAGAAATAATTACATTGAAAATGCTGTAGCCCACACATTAAGTATCAGATTTAAAAGCAGAATCCTTCAATTTCTTGAAAAGAAAGCTCAGACAGTTCCAGGAGGATAAGCACTCGAACTGGGAAACATTTAACATAAAGAATGGTTAAAGGAGACAAAATGGCTCTGTGAGTATGTCACCCAAAGATGCGGAGGGGACTGCAACGTGAGGGGGGCGGACTTCCGCACGTGCCACGGGGACGGGGAGCCTGCTTTGCAGGGTGAGGTCCCGGGGCCGGGGCGGGGCACGTAAGAGCGGGAGCCTCGTGTTGGTGAATATACAGAAATGGCAAAGAAAGCTGGTGTCAGCTTTGCCTGTTTTGCCCACATTAGAAACCAAGTCCCTCGAATTACAGGCAGACCCCCCTTTGCTGTGCTTCACAGATGCTGCTTTTCCACAAACTGAAGGCTGGGGCAACGCTGCACCGAGCAAGTCTGTCGGCACCATTTTCCCAACAGGATTTGCTCACTTAGTGTCTGAGTGTCACATTTTGGTAATTTTCACAGTACTTCAGACTTTTCATTATTGCTCTGTTTGTTATGAGGATTCGTATTCAGTGGTCTCTGATGTCACCACTCTGACTCGCTGAAGGCTCAGGTGATGGTCAGCGTTTTCCAGCAATATTTTTGAATTAAGGTGGGTCCACTGTTTTTTTAGACATAATGCTGTTGCACACTTAATGGACTGCAGTACAGCGTAAACATAACTTTTATATGCACTGGAAAACCAAAACTATCACGTGACCTGCTTTCCTGCAACATTCGCTTCACTGCGGCGGTCTGGAAGCGGACCCGCGGTCTCGCCGAGATCTGCCTGTACCTCCCTAAATTTTCATTTCTGTCCATAAGCCCACAGGCAATTACGGTTTGTGGAAAACGCTGCCATAAATCTCCCTCCTCCCTCTTGTAGAAATCCGAAAAGACACTAAGATTGCCACGTCCACGCTCACGTGTGAATCCACCAGACAAGAAGGGACACAAACTACTACTCTACCAAAGGTTCACATGATTTTAAATCAGTCAACCCAAGACCATAAAGACAAACATGCTTAGAAAGTTACTGAGAAATTCTAGACCTTTAATGAGGTGCTTATTTTCTGTTTAATAGTTAAGAGATGCAAAACACCCCGAACGTCAGGGGACAGGGGACAATGACCGAGCCAGACTAGCTTCCTACACTATCTTTTTTGGGGGGTTTGGGGAGGCAGTAATTAGGTTTATTTATTTGTAAATGGAGGTGCTGGGGGTTGAACCCAGGACCTTGTGCATGCTAAGCACACACTCCACCCCTGAGCTCTACCCTCCCCCAGATCAGCTTTGACTAGAACACCCAGCAGGAGCAATTCTTTGCAGCATGGGTGTCTGGGCTCCTCCCATTCCTAACGGACCCCAAGCGCTAAACTTACCGCAGGTCGGGGGGGAGTCCCGGTGGCACTGACAACACACGCGGGGAGCGGAGGTGCTGAGCCGAGGTCTGTCAAAACAGGACAGTTCAGAACCCTGGTACCGTGGGTCCTGTGTCCTCAGAGACCCTGCGGGAGGCAAGAGGTGGGTCAGCAAGACAAGTTCCCCAGATGGAGCCTGAGAGCATCACAGGGTGACTGGCACTGCCCCAGTTCTTGCATTTTAAAAGGACAGGACAGCTGTCATTCACATTTAAAAAGACTTCTTACACAGAGGCACAAATATGACACAATCTGTCAAGAAAACTCAAGACGCAGAGTAGCTGTGTTGCCAGAACCACGCAGGAGCTGTGTTTTGCGAGGGGCGGGGGCACCCCTGCCTCTTCGGGTCCCGATGAAGTGGTGCCGCCCTTGACCACTCCCAGCGCCTCTCTGGGACCAGGTCCCCAGAAGGTCTAATCACGTGTGCTCTGTCCCTTCGCCTGCAAGAGTCTCACCTTAGGGCGCTCGTGGAACACGCGGGCCGGGGACAATGATGATAAACGCCCTACGCCCTAGTGCGGGGGCTGTGGGGAGGGGGGTGGGGAAGGCGCGCAGAACTCACAGCTGGGCTTTTTCTCCATGAACTGCCGCTTACAGTAGATGACGCAGAGGGTGAGCAGGGCCAGCAGGACGGTGGCCAGCGCGCTGCAGATCACGGCGGCCAGGGCCGTGTCCCGCGGGCTGGAGGCTGTGGACGGGATCCTCACCAGGTTGACCTTGCTGCTACCTGAAAACCACAGGGCTGGAATGGGCACACGCTCCACAAGCTGGAGACAGACGCCCACACTGAACTCAGGGCCCCTGGCAGCCGCCGCCTTCGCGCAACGGGAGTCAAACCCCAGAAACCAGGGGGGTGTCCTGAGATGGCTCAAGCCCTCCCTCCTCTCGGGGGGCATCTGGAATACCGCACCTTACCCTGCGCCCCAAGACCCTGCGCATGTGCCTCCCCTCTGTTCCCACGACACGCACCACACGCAACCCTGACCAGGTGTGGCAGGAAGGGGCTGTCGGGCCCGCGGACCAGACCGTCTGTGAGCCAGGAACCCGTCCCCTGGTTCTTGTGTCCCCGGCACTTGGCAGTGTTGGGCACACAGCAAGCGCTTAAAATCTGTCATTTAATTGGAACCAGACTATCTCCATTTTTAAGCAGACTGGCCTAAGGTATGCTTTTGGGGGCAATTTTAGGGAAAAAACAAAGGAGTCAGATCATTCACAACCTCATATTAATCCCCAAATTTGAGACACTAAACGTTTTTTCTTTCTTTCTTTTGGTTTTGGCTTTGGGGGGGGGTAGTAATTAGGTTTATTTAGTTATTATTTTAGTGGAGGCACTAGGGGTTGAACCCAGGACCTTGTGCGTGCTAAGCATGTGCTCTACCACTGAGCTGTACCCTCCCCAAGTAAACACTTTTTTTTAATTGAAGTGTAGCTGATTTACAGTGTTAGCTTCAGGTGTACAGCACAGTGATTCAGTTATACATATATTATACACACATATATTTTTTGTTCAAAATTCTTTTTCATTATATGTTATTACAAGATATTGAACACAGTTCCCTGTGCTGTGCAGTAGGCCCCTGTTGTTTATCTCTTTTATATACAGTAGTGTATATCTGCTAATCCCAAACTCCTGATTTATTCCTCCCACCCTTTCCCCTTTGGTAATCATAGCTTGTTTTCTATGTCCGTAAGTCTGTTTTTGGTTTGTAACTAAGATTTGTATCTTTTTTTTTCGATTCCACATGTAAGTGATAACATACAATGTCTGTCTTTCTCGGCCTGACCACGAGACAGTAACCGTTTCTGAATGCCTTAGCTGTGACATTACTGAACAACATCTAAGTTTTGTAGACAAAACTAATAACTCACACCGTTGTCACACGACGGGGAAGCAGGCGTGTGTTAAGAAAGTGTCAAGAGAAAGGGTCTATTTCGGAGAGTGGTGCTGCATCGTGGTTAAGGGCAGGGATTCTGGCATCCCACTGCCTGGGTCAACCTCCGGCCTGGGGACCCTGAGCCAATGACGTAGTCTCCCTGAGCCTTGTGCCCACATCTGCCCGAGCAGAGGTCACGACAGTGCCGGTCTCCCCTTCTCGCCGGCGGGGAGAGAGTGAACTGAGTGAACGAGCAGAGACCCAGGACAGGCCCTGCACTCAGCCCTGGAGGGTCGCTGGCTGTCAGTGTGGTGGTGACCATAATGAGCACTTTCATGAGCACTTCAGGGTCCAGGATAAACAAAGGCATTTAGACCAGAAGTCTGTGTTTTGTGGAGACACACTGTGTCCTGTTTAACCAACCTCTAAGGGACGTGAGAGGCACTGAGACCTGACGAGAGGCAGCAAGGCCTATCCCCATCAGCAGCTGCCCCTCAGTGGCTCGGGGCTCTCGGCACAGATCCAGGGAGCCCCCTCTGCTGAGGGCCCCCCGACCCCTGCTGCTCGGTGGAAGCAGGTGTGCCTCCCATGCGATTTTCACTTACCTACAAGCCTTGTTGAAAAGGAAAAAAAGCCAGGTAAAGTCAATCCATTTTCTTAACGCACTATATCTTAAAATATTACCATTTCAACATGTATTCAACATAAAAATTCGTATTGGCATATTTTGCATCCTCCAGTCCATGCAAAAATTTCCAAGTCCAGTGTGACCTCATGTTGACAGCACATCTCAGTGTGGACCGAGTACATCTCAGAGCCCGACTGCCCGCTCGTGCGGCTCCGGGTGATCACGAAGGGCCCGGAGCTCTGGAGGAGAGGTGTGTATCTGCGTCTGCGCCGCACGGCACCTACGGCCACCTGGCACTTCCTCCCCATCCCTGGTGCCCGCGCCCCACACCCAGCCCTATCCCAGCAGCCTGGTTTCCACTGTGTGACACCTCGGGCTAGACCCAGAGACAAGCTCACTGAATCCTAAAAACAGGACAGCAGGCGCCATGGCTTTGGGATGTTGAGCCTGGCACATCTGAGCTCAGTGGGCCCAGGACACCCTGGTACAAGTTTCTCATTGCCTCAGAAAGGCACATAGTCGCGTGCCTTGGGTCTGGGGGAACAGGACTCATAATCCAACCACACGCTGTAAAGGGTATTTGCTTGTAATCATGCTTAATATTCGAAAACGCATTTTATCATTTCCAGCTATGCAGACTGTAATAGCCAAAGAGCACCTATTAAGGCTTCCGCATAGAGTACGTTAAACAAATCACATCTTCGACCCAACAGAGATGAAATCTAGATCTGAGACAGCCCCCGTCGGTGGCCAGATTCACAGGAGGATGTGCCAACACGCGCACAGCTGTGCAAACACTGGCAGTGAACGCGTGAAGAGGAATTCGTATCTAACGAAAGTTACTCGTGGGCTACTGATCTGGGGAATGTTTAAGGATTCCCTATTCTGACCGAGTGGTGAAGTGCGGGAAACTGCCGCTCCCTCACACTTGTGAGACAGCAGTTTACTTCTGAGTGAGATCAGGCCCCTTCGCTTCAACGTCCCACCAAATAGCCAAGCTCTACTCAATATAGGGCTTCAGCAAAACTGTGATCAAAATGAGACAGAATGCATCTTTGGAGTCGAAGCTCTCAAAGTCCCGAGCCATGCTCACTAGTACGTTGAACTCGTCAATCAGCGTGGTACTGGCTGTTCAGAAAACCCTACGGAGAATCAGGAATTCAGGCGGAAGTAGATGATGATTAGAATCTTTTAAGTTCTTACTGTTTAAAATGTTTCTAAAATAGATCAGTCCACTTACCTGCCTTCAGATAAAAGGAACTGTTTCTAACTTATACATGAGCTGAAATGCCCCCAAATGGGGATTATGTTTTTTAATTTGGTAGTTTGTGACTCAGGATTTAAGCCAAAAATAAAAGTCTTGTTAACACACCTTTCCAAGGTAGGGCACCGACACTGTGATTTCAACGCTATCGAGTTGTGGTAAGAGCATCAAATTTAAAGGTAACTACACCAAAAAAGCCCACTTTCTATGCATTTCCCAGGCAGGAGCATCTGAAGATGAACAGGAGAAACACAGAAGTCTCACCCCTCAGTTTTTGAAAAAGGCATCTTGTTAACGCAAACACCCCCCCGAGGGCCCCCGTGGGAAGTGCGGCTCCGGAAGCCAGGTCTTGCTTCTTGGTGATACAGACAAGTTATGACAACACTTACACCACACACCATTTTTAAAAAATAGGAGATGGGCTCATCGTTGTTAAATCTGTCATATAAGCAGTGAGGAAGAATTACAGAAGCCTTGGGAGGCTGGGCTATCATCTACTTGAAAACAACCCCAGTTCCTGATAAAAGCCTATTTTCTTAACATTTTTTTGACTTGAGCAGTAAAACCAGAGGGGAGGGAGAGGGGCTAGCTGAGTGGAGTGGCTTCTGCCCTACCAAGCTGTGGTTCAGGACAGGGTTTATCTATTACGAACTTTGTTTTAATGGCCAAAAGGCACATGAAAAAGTGCTCAATGTCGCTAATGATCAGAGAAATGCAAATCAAAACTACAGTGAGTTATCACCTCACATCAGTCAGAATCGCCATCATTTAAAAGTCCATGAACGATAAATGCTGGAGAATGTGTGGAGAAAAGGGAACCCTCCTACACTGTTGGTGGGAATGCAGTTTGGTACAGGCACTATGGAGAACAGTATGGAGATTCCTCAAAAAACTAAAAATAGACTTACCCTATGATCCAGCAATACCACTCCTGGACATATATCCACAGGGAACTTTAATTCAAAAAGATACATGCACCCCAGTAAAGATTCACAGCAGCACTATTTATAACAGTCAAGGTATGGAAGCAACCTAAGTGTCCATCAACAGATGACTGGATAAAGAAGTTGTGGTGTAGTTATACAATGGAACATTACTCAGCCATAAAAAAGAATGAAATAATGCTATTTACAGCAACATGGATGGACCTAGAGATTGTCATACTAACTGAGTAAAGTAAGTCAGGCAGAGAAAGACAAATACCACATGATATCACTTATATGTGGAATCTAAAAAAAAAGGGACACAAATGAACTTATTTACAAAACAGAAAAAGACTCACAGACATAGAAAACAAACATGGTTACCAAGGGGGAAAGGGGAGAGGTGGAGGGATAAATCGGGAGTTTGGGATTTGCAGATACACACTACTATATATAAAATACATAAACAACAAAGTCCTACTGTACAGCACAGGGAACTATATCCAATGCCTTGCAATGGCCTATAATGAAAAAGAATATGAAAAGGAATATATAATATATGTGTACTGAAACATTATGCTCTTCACCAGAAATTAACACAACATTGGAAACCAACTATACTTCAATAAAAAAGAAAAAGAAAAAAACAGATTGTTTTTCTGACCTGAGGCTGCTGTCATGATACTGAGATTAAAGTTCCTTCCACCCGCCGCCCTGACTAAACTCTCTGACCGCAGCTCACCACGCACACTGCCTGCCGACAAGGAATCTTACCCTAACCCTGCTGGGATTCTGACAGTACTTCTGAGGAGTCTGTAATAAGAATGCCCACATTCTTTGGAAAGTTTTAACTTCTCTGGAATACAAAGGCATGTCTCACCCTAACCAATTAAGTTATTAAATTGCACTATAATCTCAGCTCTACCCTTTGGCAATTGACTTCAGAGTGAGAGCTGTTTCTTAGCTTAAAACTTATGTTGCAAGACATACTTTACATGGGTTCAGTTTCTTACTGTACATTTCCTTAGGGGCTCAGCT